GACAGCGCGCGGCGCGAGGCTGCGGGAGCAGGGTAGGGAGCCGCCAGTCCTCAGCGCTGCGCTGCCGCGCTCGCATCTGGGCGGCCCGGGCGCGCCGGCTGCTATATAGAAGCCGGGGTGGCCGAGGACACGCCCCGGAACGGCGCGCCAGTGGTGGTGGGGGGGGCAGCGGGGGCGGGCCAGAGCGAACCAGGCTCCGGGGGCCCGCGCCTCGCCATGGGCAGCCGGGCAGAATGCGGGGCTGCGCAGCGCTAGGACGGCCGGGCACCTGCTCCCCGCGCACATGCCTGGCGCCCCCGGTACCCTGCCGTCCCCGGGGCCTCTGGTGTCTCCCCGCCCCAGGCCACCCCAGCGCCGCCGACCGCCCTCGGCCACCCCGATGCCTACGCCCTTCTCCCTCTGCACCCTAAGGTGACGTCGCCCCACGGCGAGCCGGCGTAGGGGAAACTGGCGTGTGCTGCTCCTCACTCGTGTGTACTTTGCAAAGCTTTCCAAAATTTAAGTCCTTGGGTCTAGGAAGTCGTGGGACGTTTCTGAATGAAAATACCCGATTCGCTTCGGAGTCTCGGCGAGCCAAGGCACTCGAGGTTTTATCTGCACCGCTGGGCCTTTGGCACCCTCAGCCTCCCCCTCCACCCCCCGACCCAACAAAAGCGCATCTGCAGGTGCGTACTTGGCTGTCGCCCTTTCTAGGTCCCCTTCTCAAAGCGCTGGAGGCTCACGCTTGCCTTTTCACTTCAAGTCCTAGTTGGCAGAGTGGGCCGGCGGAGAATGTGTCCTTAGGACGGCTTGTCGAAGATTTGACGTCACGACTGTTCTTGTTTTAGGTTTCCTCCCTGATAACGTTCTCAGATAGAGTTTACATGCACAACCGAACAATAATGAAAACAATAAAGCGGGCACCGCTGAAGCGTAATTAATAACCGAATAGTCCTCAACATTGGTGATTTTCACTATCAGTTTTTCAGGCCGCTTTGTATCCCTGTACTAAGTTCTCTCCGGTGCGTTGAAATGGAGATTTTGTGACTCGCGCTCATCTGTGCAATCTGAATACTTTGCACTAGGGTGCAAGTCCGAGGGCGCAATTGCGCCCTTGAGGTCGCGGTGAACCGGGCTGGCCTGCTCCGTGCGGGTCCTTTCAACGGTGTCTGCGTGCCCCTTTCCCAGGCGACCAACAGAGGACGCCAGTGGTCCAGGATTGAATGGAGAATTACACTTCCCAAGGCTATTTTATGAAGAGCTTGTGCTTCTGCAGTGGGAACCGGTCAGACCATCGTGGGAATGGACTTTCCTGGACGCTGTTGAAAATAGATACTTGCCCTAGGAGGTGGATAGGTGTCTTGGAGAAGCCTTTTGCAGTTTCCGGTAGAAACAGCAAACTTGCGTTTCCCCCTCCACCCCGGCCAGCCCGCTAGGCAGCCATGGGTGAGGTTAACATCCATCCACTGTCTTTCCCACCTCTCTCTCTGTGTGTACATGTGTATGTATGTGTATGTGTATATATCTCCTTCCCTTAGTATGGGAAGACCAATTTACTCATATCAAATAAGTCATAAATAAAATATAGTAATAAGTGAGGATCTACAATGGAGAAGAGATCAAAGACACACCGAGGGGGCCTGTCCCTCAGCCCGGCAAAGGCGCAGCCCCTGAGGCCCTTGTCGGCTCCCGCAGTCTAGCGCTCAGCTGTGGGAGACCCGCCCTGTTTACCCTCAAGTACACCATAACCGTCCTTTAGGTCCCTCTCCTGTCTCCCTCCTTGTAACTGTATGTTCTCTGCTTTGACAGCCAAGAACAGGGTCTCCGATTTCATTGGAAAATTAAAGGAAACAAAACAAATCCCTCAGGGTTACATTTGTTCCTGAAATAACCATGGACACTGGACTCAAATTAGAGCAGGGTTTTGTATCAAGATTCTTGAGGTTGCAGGTCCGCCTTTGTCTAGTACAGTGTCGTACACGGGGCTGTTCTGGTCATTGGTCAGTGTGGCACTTTTTACTAGCGTTGTCTTCTGAGCAGTGGACAGGGGAAGCCCGGGGAGAATATCCAAGTCCGACCCCTCGGGTGCTCCTGCTTTTCAGATGGCGGAGCCCCGGCCTCGGCAGCTGGAGAAAAGGCTCCTGTTCCGCGCGGAGTCCCTAGGGGGCGCCGAAGCGCCAGGGTGTCCCGGAAGAAGCCTGAGAGCACGGAACGCCAAAGGTTACGTTGTAACTCTCGATGGATATTCCATAGCAACGTTTTATCTAGGCTGTCATCGCCTTTCTCGTGAAATCTTGCAGCAGCGACGTAGGGAGAATTGTATTTCATTATTTAGCCATTCTTGTCTGACAAAACTGCAGGGAAACCCCTCCAGAATCTAATTGTTGCAGGCAGGACTTGGATAGGATAAAACTTAATTTTGTGGCATGCTAGTTAATTTTGTCAGACTTTCGATTAATCTGGCATTTGTGGTTTTTGACATAAACTAGAGTGGTTAGTGGGAAAGATGTTTTTCCCTGGATGAAGGTACTTGGTATACAATTGCTTAATAATTGTAGTGTTCAACCATTGGAATAACAGACAGGAGACGGGATATATCCCTTTTCACTAACAAAATTCACTTGGGCTGATTGTGATTCATGATTGCTGGGGTCAGCCTGGTCATCCTAACCAGGTGACATAAGCCACTCATTTCTTTGAGCCCACTGCCGCACCTGACAGGCTCCTTGTCTCCATGTGACATCGGCTACTTTGCTTCTCTTAGGCTTTCCCTGGACCCGCCACCTAGGGTCTCTCTCCCTGCCCTGAGCAGCAAGCTCTCTCTTCCATGTCCTCAGAAGTATGTGTCAGGTTTACTTACCACAGTAGACTTCGAACAGAAAGGTCCAAACTCCTAGAGGCAAGTGATGCTGGGACCTCATTTTAGGACTCAGTGGCACTTTCCCTAAATAAAGCCTCAGCGTTTCCTGCTAGGGGAGGTCTGCATGGGGACAGGGAACCTAATTTCCCCTTCATCAGATCGCCTGCTAGGTAAGCCTCCCAGTTATGTATTTTGGGTTTAGGAGTGCATTAAGACATCACTGCTGATAAAAACTAGCAATGACTGTAACCTACAAATGACACCATTAGAATTTGTCTGTCCATTTAGCCCACAAACTGAGCATGTACACGTGCCCAGTCTTTTTAGCCAGCCTGTGAGACCCTATGGCAGCTTCCCAGATAGTGATGGGCAGTGTGACCATGGGGAACACAGAGGGGTTTACATTGTGTTTGTGACCCAGGGAAGGGGGCAGCAGACCCTGCCTATGTGGTCAGAAGAAGCTTCAGAGAGGTGGTGGCATTTCAGTTGAGTTGTAAGGGGTGTGGAAGAGTCCAGCTGAGGGAGGAAGGCAGAGGAAGGACTGTTGCTCTGGAAGGACTGTGTGCCTGGAGGGAGGGGGGTCCTTGTAAGAGATGGCATGGGTATTGGCATGTGTCCTTTGGGGAAGGTGGAATTCTGAGGTTTGGAAGAAAAGAGAAGGAAACGTAAAAAGGTGAGTTGGAAAGGTGGTAACGATGGCATTGGAGCCAGGGACTTCAGACTTGGTGCTGCCCTGTTTGGTCAGCAGTTTGGAGATAGATGAAGGGCTTCCAGAGAAAGAGCTTGGGTGCGTTCTGAACAGAAGACAAGCCCTCCTGCCCCTACACCCCCAGAGGAAGGCAGGTTCCGTTCAGCACAATGATGCCCTGTCTATGGCCTTTTCTTTCACGGTGGCGTGGCTTTTCACATGGGCACCCACACCCATGCCCGCATAGTCAGTAATTTACAGGAAGAGGGCTGTTTCTCTGTCCTAGTCATTCTCACAGGGGCAATTCCTGTGTCTGTCTCAGAGCCAGCTTTTGTTCAAGGCCGAAACTTCAGGAACAATGAGAAAGATCGGGGCCTTGAACACAAGAGACCTGAGTGGATGCCCACCTGCTTGCTGGCTTCTCCCCTTCTGAACCTTGATTCCAGGACCAGGTAGGGGCACTGGAACATATCTCACAGCATCGACGGAAGGATTAGCTCTTGGACACTGTTGCCTTGGATATGAGAAGACGCAGTTCGTTCCAGTCTTCACAGAGCCAACTGAACAAACCTTAAATTAGAGGTTGTATTCTGAAATGGATTCCAGCATACAGTCCAGACTCCTCCTGGGGGCCTGTCGCCTCAGTTCAAAGGTTAGCATGTTGACAGTGGATGCTCTCTTTGGGGATGGTGTGCAGTCTTCAAACTGGCCATGAGAGTAACAGCTTCTTTCCCTGGCAAATAGGAAACAAGGAAGATTTAGGGGCATTTTTGATTTAGCTGGTTTGCTCCTGGCACCAATGTCAACCTGTTCCCTCCCCAAGGGCAGCTGTGGTGCCACATCTTTCTTATTGTCCAGCTTTGCAAAGCTGGGTGGGAAGGGAAAGATTCCCACTAGCTCTTCCCTCATGGGTAGAAGGATCCTGGCGGTGCTATTATATCTCTCGTTTACTGGAAATGAGGTAATGCAATCCCTCTTTCATCCTTGGTTGGATTTCCTAGGGCACAATCTACAGATTCCTCCCTCCTTATA